TAGTGGTAGACAGGTCCAGGTCTCCCCTGGCAATAAACTTTTATAAGTACTAAGAATTTTTGTTTCCCCTTAAAAATATGTAAGACGAATAAAAAGAAAAAAAAATAGTCCTAATACACTCACTTCATAAGTTTTTGTATTGCCAAGGGAGAAATTTAGCTTATAAATGTTCTGAATGTTGAGGTACGTAGAACAAAATCCCTACTATAATGAGGAAAAGTTAAACTGAGTTTTCTTATATTTGTTTTTGTTTCAGGTTAAGCGTTTCGCTAATGTTAACATCAGACAATCTCAAAATCAAGTGCATTTATAGACTGAGGAAATTGGCTGGGACCCAAAGAACTTTAGAACAGTTCGTTACCTCACGGCTTAGAAGAGTCGCCTGTTTCTGAGAGTTCAGGCAAAGACTAAAGCACTAAGTCAAGGCTTGGAGAAGCATTTTCAGCATGAGATGCCAACCAAGTGTAACCACATGATCCCGAACACTGCTTCCAAATTTTACACTGAATGAATCAACCAGTACTTCAAGATTCCCAACAGGGGGATTTGAAGACACGTTTGGCTTTTGTGGCCATTTTAATTAATATCAAGATGAACTTGTTCAAATGACCATCAAATATATGTACTTTTCAGGCTTGAATAAAGATCCTAATTGGCTAACACTAATCATGAAGTTACACTCGGATATTGTGCTGACAGATTCTTTGTGTATTTTATTGTTTTATATAACACTTACGAATCCCTGCCTTTCTCAACAGTTCACCTCTGTAAGTTGTTTGCTTCCTTCAAAAAAGCTGTATAAGTGGCAACACATCATCATTTATCTTTACATGAAAATGTCCAGTGTTCAAGTAGACTCTATTCCACATATGTTGATATGTCTGAGGAGAAATGGGAAGACCAGAGAAGGAGGAAGACTTCGATACTTACTAGATTTGGTGAATGCTGCATTGACCTCATGGAGGACACACTGGTCTGGTGCATGTACCCGTAGCCTTGGGAATGGCTTTGCTGATAGGCTCCAGGAAGCACAGGCGCTGTACATTAAACACACACATGAAAAGATTTCTTAAAGTTAGCCTCAAAATACTCTGCCCGAGCCCTCAAAGTGACTTCATGCTCTGCTAGAAGCTTCTGAAACAAAATGCCATTCTAAGAGTCATGTGAAATTTGGGTAGCAGTGTTATAAGCAACCTCTGGATTAGTATAAATCTCAGTAATTAAGAACAAACACAGAAAATCAATTTAGCATGCAATTAAAACATATTTTAAAAATTAATAGTTGTATTACTCTATTGTAGATGCTATGTTAAAACAACAAACACAAAATAAAAATTTCCCATAGTCCCTTAACAAAACTGTGTTTTTATTTGACCATTTGACCAATCCTTCTAGGCATTTTCCAAAATAAAAATAAGAATTTTT